CAAGAACTGAGTTCAAATCCCACCTCAGACATTTGCTAGCTGTATTACCCTGGGCAAGTCACTTCACCCTGTTTGCCTCAGTTCCTTCATCTGGAAAATGAACTGGAGAAGCAAATGGCAAACTACTCCAGTATCTTTGCCAAGAGAACCCCAAAATGGGGTCAAGAAAAATCAGATATGACTGAACAACAGCAAAATTATTATTATGTGATGTGGAAGGAGTATGTTTATCATCAAGGTCGATTTTTTTGGCATGGAAACATAATGACATCCAAGGACCCCAAACAGCCATTGGAGGTCGAGGTTTACCAATGAAATCTCAAATACTTGAAGTGGGTATCCCCCCCTTTTTTTTTAGGAATAGATTTGATTTTCAAATCCACTTTGCCGTGGGGTAATGGAACTATTAGGCTGACATCTTTTTTTTTTCCTCTTGCTTTTTGGTGAGGCAATCGAGGTTAAGTGACTTGCCCAGAGTCACACAGCTAATGAGTCCTGTGTCTGAGTCCAGATTTGAACTCAGATCCTCCTGACTCCAGGGCCAGAGCTCTATCCACTGCAACACCTAGCTGTCCCATCTGACATCATTAAAGAAGAGGCTTTACCATCTTTGGTGCTGCTCTCTAAGAACCTTGACATTTTACCATCTGGCTTGAGCTGAAACCTTTCAGGTGCATTGTCTACCTTGTTAGAACTTGAGCTCTTTGAGAACAGGGACTGCCTTGCTTTTCTATTTGTAGCCCCAGCACTTAGCACATAGTAAGAGCTTAATCAATGCTTTATTGATTCATTCACTCATTTGTGTCACAGCAAAACCCAAGTTCACTAGTCCCAAGGCAGGGATCCATTTGCCTCATTTCCAGGCTAGATTTCTTTTTTATGGACCATGCCTTAAACCCAAATCACTCTGGCTCTCATTGATTGACCAACAGTAGGTCCGAGCCCAAGCCTCACTGGGTCATCCTTTGGCTTCTGCTGGCTCAGAGTGAGTGTAAATAGCCATTGTTTCTGTTTTGGCCAGAAACCCTGAGGGTCTTCCCCTCCCAGATTGATTCTCCCCCCCCCATAGGTCATTGAGGCCATTCTTTGCCTCCTTTTTACTTCATCTTAATCACTGCATAGGCTGAGACCTGGGAAAGACCTTAGCTTAAAATGGCCAAGGTCTCCTATTCCATCCAGGACCGTCTTCAGTACTCCTGATCTGTATCTTGCCATTAGACCCAGATGGTTCCAGAGGAGAGAGTGAGGCTGGTGACTTTGCACAGCCCTCCCTCACTTAAATCCAATTCACTTGTAAGTCATGACATCACCTTCTTGATGTCATGGTCCTCTTTGAGGACAAAGGACAAACAATAAGGCAATTGTAACATGTTGAAAACTTTGTGGCTGCCCTACCGGAGGTAATAGTATCGGGATGTCCTAGCCCAGATCCCTTGTCTGTCCTTGGTGAAGACCTGTCTCCTTCCATAGATCATCTTGGACTTCATTACAGCTTTGGAGTTTCTCCCAGAGTCAAAATGCCTTCCTTTCAATGCTAGACTAAATTTGACTTACACCTGACTGAGAAACTCATTTCATCTTCTGTTTTCGTCAGCCCTCGTCTCTGTGTTGCATACTGAAGTCACTGTTTACCACATTCTACACCCAGACAGCCAGATAGAACCACCCAGATGTTGGGGCAGTACCTTCTCTAACTTCAGGAATTACTACTAGTCAGTCAGTTAGCACTTATTAAGTACCTGCTATGTGCCAGGTATCGTGCTAAGCAGTGGGGATACAAAGAGAGGCAAAAACAGTCCTTGTTCTCAAGGACCTCACAGTGTGATGGAGGAACCAGGACAACTGGTCCACCTTACTCACTTCTCCTGAATTTCATTTTAAGAATTCCATTCATACTCAAAATCAAATTATACTTTTCCCCACCAAAACACAGATTCTGCCCTCGCTTCTTCTCATCCTTCACAATTTAGTTCAACTCTCCTGGCACTCTACCACTACCTAGAAGGGTTGGAAGCTGTTCCAAACAGACTTGCTTCACACTATGGGGTGCATCAAGGCCACATGTATTTATTTGTACTGCTGACCGAAACCAGACCCCAGTCATCCTCGAAGGTTGAAGATCTGGTTTGGTTCTCTACCCAAAACAGCAAACCCTCCCAGAGGCTCAGGAAGCAGACTGTCTGGTCCTGCCAGCACTGTAAATAGTGAGTCTCGTGGCCTTTTGCTAAAGCACCCCAGTGCCATATAGGTTCTTCCCACTGATGATTGCTTGAGAAAGCCTGCGGAGACCCTCTTCTTCACACACATACCCTAAAACCCCACCACTTCCTTCACTGGTGATTGATGGCCAAGAGGAATTTGTGGTCGAGGAAAGACTTAACTCCCATGTGTGGCTGACAAAGTTTTGGGCCAGATGAACCAATTGGGAAACTTTCTGAGAACCTTTGCATTCCTGACCCCATGCCTCGTGGAGGCCCTTTGAAAGAGGGCGTCATGTCCTGGCTGTTCTACTAGCATAAGTTTAAGGGCTTAGCAAGAGTGCTGGCAGATGGGACAGTGCTTACACATCAAAACTGCCAGCATGCCTGGACACGCAAATACACCCCTGGCAATCTTGATTTATAGTGGCTTCATTCCCAGTGTGACTGACTCCCGCTCGCTGTCATTCCTTGGCTCTCAGTGGCCTGGTTTTAAACTCTGAATTTTCCTTAGTGGCCGCCATGTTCTTGGCTTTCTGCTCCTCCACTGATGAACCCCTTGCTCTGATGCAGCCTGTGTGAATGGCCTCTCTGGTTGCGCTCCCACAGCCCCACCCTTGCTTCTCTGTGACAACCCCTAATTTCTTCCCCTGTGTTTGTAAATCAGCTTTTCATGGGCTAGGCTAGTCATTCGTAGGCCTATCTTCCGCTTGTATGGCATTGATAGTTTTTCAAAGCCTTTAGGCATGTTTGATCCTTACAACAACCCCATGAGATGGGTAAAGTATAAGAGGCATTGTTGTCCTCTTCTACAGATGAGGAAATGGAGGTACAGAGAAGTTACATAATAGAGCTACTTAGTGATGGACCTGAGACTAGAACCGAGCCCTCTTACTCCTGGTCAGATGTTCTTTCCACCAGATCATGCTCCTTAAGATGGAGTCTGTTCACCAGTAACCACATGGTTCCCTTAAAAGAGAATTGGGTTTGGAGTTAGAGGACCTGGGTTCAAATCTTACCTCTGACCCTTACTACCTGTGTGACCCTGGACAAGTCCTTAACCTCTCTGGGTCTCAGTTTTCCCAATTGTAAAATTCAGTATTAGACTAAATGACTACAACTCTAAATCTGTGAGCTTGAGGTGGTATTCAGGATCCCAGATGTTTCTTGTTTGCAATATTTATATTATGTTATATGTTATATGATGTCATATCTAGTTGTATTATATCATGCTAAAGATCATATCCTGTCATATGTATTATCACATTATATAAATATATTATTATATTATAATGTTTGCATATGGTCTCTCTACCTTATAACGATTATACTATTATAATATAATATATTATAATGTGTATATTATATGCATTATATTACACTGTTTTATTATACATTATCATATCCTGTTATGTTATATCATTTCATATATCATGTCATTTATCCATAGATACATTATATTATATTGTATTATATCATATTATATCATATTTTCACATAATATCATATTATATCTTAGGTTATCATATTATATTATCATATTATATTATATTATATATTATAACTTAGGTTATTATATTAATTCAAAAGTGTGTATTATGTCATATTATATCATATTTTCATATAATATCATATTATATCTTACCTACTTAGGTTATTATATTAATTCAAAAGTGTGTTACATTTCTGTTATATCCTATCTTGCACATTTAGATTATTATATTAACTTAAAGCATATTATCATATCATATTTTATATGCCTAGAATATTTTGTTAAGTCAAATATATACTGTTTTCCTCACAACAACTCTCCAGAGTAAGTAGTATAATTATAATTTACGTTTTACAGACATCAAAATTCAGGATTGGTAGAAAAGTTAAGCTCAGACTCAGGAGAAAATACTTGTATGTGGCTGGTAATGACATGGACAATTTTTATTTTTAGCATTTTTTCCTGACCATTTCTTTTTTTAAAAATGGAAAGGAAATATACCAGTTGCTTACTCAGGGAGGGGGGAGGTAAGGAAGGGAGAGAGAAAATGTGGAAATCAAAATTTTTAAAAAATGCATGTTAAAAATTGTACATGGAACTGGAGAAAAATAAAATATTATTTTAAAAAATGGAAGGAAAAGTGATTTGAGGGTAGTGTCATTATCCTGCTTAGAGAATAGTGTACAGTGGGTATAGCTTCTTACTGCCCAAAAGAAATTTTGCTCCTGTGTAGAAAGTTGGGGTGATAGTGCCTGCACTGCTCTGCCTCCTGCCTAAACCTGAAAAGCATTCTAATCTATAGGTCCTGTTCTAGGGATCAGAGAAGCCAATAGATTGTATTTTCTTCTATTTTTTTTTTAAATTTGCTCTGTACCAAGAATATTTCCTTTGTAGAGCGCCTGAAAACTTTCCTGGTTTTTGTTGTTGTTGTCTTATTTTGTTTTGGTTTTTTGAGACCGGGTCTCCCTCTCTCACCCAGCTTGGATGAGCAACAGCCAGTCACAGGCCCTACCTTACCACGGCTAGATGCGATAAGGTTTCCAACCTGGGCCACCATTTTGTCCCTCCTTAGGCACTTTGGTGATTCTCTTCCCCGAGGGGACTCCCCGTATTAGTGCCAGACTGAGTGTGGACAAATGCTGGGCTTTGGCCCTCTTGCAGTTCAGAACTCTGGAGCTTAAGTGATCCACCCGCCTCAACCTCCCCTAGAGCACCACCACTTCCGGCCACATCTTACTGTCTGATTCCTAGAACAAGATTCTTCTTCTTTAGACTTTTGCTCTTAATGTTTGTTTTTGGTTTGTTTGTAGATCTGTTACTCGATTACACATCTCAGCCAGCCAATCATCAGTTCTCCAATGTCCCACCCCTTCCTGAAGACATCAAAGGCACTTGCTTTCAGACTGGAAATAAGAGGAGCCATGAGCCCTTTACTGGCCCAGAACGATTTGGAAACAGCAGTTTGGGCTTCAGCTGTACATCATACCCCCATGCTCCAGAGAAGGTGACGCTCCTTGTAGACGGCACTCGTTTTGTGGTCAATCCACAGATATTCACTGCTCATCCGGACACCATGTTGGGAAGGTAACAGGTTCCCCACAAGTTCACTCTGTTCTTTAGAATGGGAAGAATGGTTATGCCCAGAATTATGCTGAAGCCAGATCAAACCAGAACCAATTGTTAAATTCAGTGAGCATTTACCCCTCATAAATCCACAAACAATACAAATCAAGGCTTGATTTATTGTATTATTGTCTAGACTTAAGAAAGTAATGGAGAAAATGTTAATAATGCAGATTAAACTTAAAGGTATGTTGGTGCACCTGGTTGTTAAACATTTACTAGCATACCTCTGGTCAAACCTATTATTTAATCTGCCCATAGAAATAGCTACACAAGTCTTTTTGAAAGATTATTTATCTCTCCATAACAGAGGACAGGGGGGTGGGGCCAAGATGACGGAGTGAAAGCAGTGACTTGCTTGAGCTCTCCTCCAAACCCCTCCATGACAGAGGACAGACAGAGCTGTACGTATATAAGCATAGGGGTTTTTGTGTCCATACACAAAACCTGTGTCACTGAATAAATTCCCTAAAAGAAAAACAAAATACAGTGATAGTGGCAGAACATAGTCCTGGAACACTGAGGTTTATTCTCTAATCCCCTCCAGTTTCATCTTTGATAGGAGATCTGATCATCGTAGGGTCATAGACTTAGTGCAGAAAGGGATCTTAGCGATCATTTAGTCTGACCCCTTTGCTTTACAGATGAAGAAACGGGAGCCTAGCGAGGTTAAGTTATGTAAGGTTAAGTTAAATGATTTATCCAAGATCACATAGGTAGTTAAGGACAATGCCAAGATTCAAACCCAGATCCTTTATAGTTCCAGGACTTCTCCTATTACTGCTCGCTGCTTCCCGTGTTTAGTTGCTTCTGGCCTCAGTTTCAGCCACCTGCAAGTTGGCACACTTGTCTGTGGTACAGTGCTATTCCTAGGAGGATGTGTAAGGGAGAGGTCATCCCTGAGCTCTGTGGGAAAGGTGCTGGAATAACCAACGTGGCGTGTGGCTTCATGCTGTTTGAAGGGAGAGTGAAACAAATGTCGTGCTTCTGCGAAGTCAAGTCAGCAGTGATTTACTAAGCTCTTATATGTGCCAGATGTACCAAGCACTGGTGATACTAAGAAAGGCCAAAACAGTTTCTGCCTTCAGGGAGCTCACAATCTAAGGTGGAGAGACCACAGACAAACAACTGTACAAATAAGATTTATAACAAGTTAAGTTGGAGATATTCTCAGGGGGAAGGCACCGTCATCAAAGAAGACTGGGAAAGTCTTCTTGCAGAAGGTGGGATTTTTGCTAAGACCTGAAGGAAGCCAGGGAAGATACAAAACTGAGACGAGGAAGGGGAGTCTTCTAGATATGGGGAGAAGATAGTGAAAATGTCCAGAGTGGGGAATTGGAAGGTCTTGTTTGGGGAAAAGGCAGGAGGCCAGTGTTGCTGGATCTCAGAAGACGTGGAACAGAGTAAGGCATAAGAAGACTACAAAGGTAGGAATGGGGCAGGTTAGGAAGGGCTTTTTTATATTTGATCCTAGGGAACCACTGGAGTTTATTGAGTAGGGTGGTGACGTGGTCAGAGCTGCTCATTATGAAGATCACTTTGACAGGTGAGTGGAGGCTGGACCGCAGGAAAGCAAGCAGACCAACCAGCATTTATTTATTGTGGCAGTTGTCCAGGCATGGAGTGATGAGGGTGCCTGAGTGGTGGCAGTGTCAGAGGAGAGAAGGTATATGCAAGAGATGTTACTTAGGTGGCATTGACAGAACTTGGCAATAGGTTGGATATGGGGGTGAGGGATAGTGAGGAGCTGAGGATGACACCAATGTGGTGAGCCTGGGGAGCCGGGAAGATGGTGGTGCCCTTCTTAGGAATAGGGAAGTTAGGAAAAGAGAAGGGTCGGCTGGAAGAGGAAAGTGGGGAGGGGGGAAGATGAGTTCAATTTGGGACATTGAGTATGAGGTTTTCATGCAACATCGAGTTGGAGATGTCCAATAGGCAGGTGGAACACATTATATTGGAAGCTTGCAGAGAGGTTAAGGCTGCAAATAGATTTGAAATTATCAGCATAGCTGCTGATGTAAGTGAATTCATGGGAATTGATGAAATCACCAAGTGAAATAGTATCAAATGAAAAGAGATTGAGAGGTTAAGGGATTTGTCTGAGATCGCACAAGCCGTTAGTTAGTGGCATTGTCAAGATTCAGACCCAGATCCTTTGACTACAACTCCAGAATTTTTCCCACCCCCTCACTGCCTCCCATGATTTGTTGCTTCTGACCTTAGTTTGAACTACCTGTCAGTTGGAGGTGGCAAACCAGTGCAGTCCAGCAAGGAGGATGTGCAAGAAAAAGACTCATGAACTCTGCATGGGAAAAGTGCTAAAATAAGCAATGTGGGCTGCAGCTTTGCACTGTCTTGGTTCAGCTTGAGAGAGACAGAGACAGAGACAGAGAGAGAGAGAGAGAGAGAGAGAGAGAGAGAGAGAGACAGAGACAAAGAGTCAGAGACAGATGGAGGTTGGGGGGGAAGAGGGGAGCGGGGAGGGAGAGAAAGAAATGTCCTACATACAACACAAACCCAGGAAAGCTTCCTATGGAATTGCTAGAATGTCGTTTGACATGCATCAACCTGAATCAAGTGACAAAGATGAGATTTCACCTTCTGAGAGGGCCCTGTGATTTCCAAATAAATGATCACATTTTAATCTAGAGAAAAGATCAGCTTTTTAAGGAAGTAGTTTGTCCAGCCAGGCCACTGCTTCTCAGCAGTGGTAGGTCTCCCCTGGCATTTTCTAAACTCATCTTTACTGCTGAGTTATGTGAAATTGAGTTTCTACACCTGTTTGTTGGCTTCTTTTAGAGTTCCCTTATTACGTCATGTTTGTCAATAACCCACAGGCTATTTTTCCTTTTAAAGAACATTTCCCAACTTGTCCCCTTCCCTGTTTGCTTGCATTGCATCTTTTTTTTTAATTTTAAAAAATGTTACATTTTTACACCACATTCTTTTCCAAATATACTTTCCCACCTTACCTCTTGAAGAAATATTTTGTTTTGTTTTTTCATTGATAGTTTCCTCTCTGCTGCATTCTTTGGCTAACTGAAAAAAAAAAGGGTTAAAAATTTTTTTCCCCACTTCTGCCTTATCTGTCTCTCTCTTAGAACTGTTTTCTGTTATAGTCATAATTTGGGGTCTGGTTAGCTTTGATGGTTAGAAGACCATGGCTTAGTCTAGGGCAGGGGTCTTGACCTATGGTCTGTGAACTTTTTAAAATATCTTGATAACTATATTTAATATAATTGTTTTCTTTGTAATCCTGAGAATTTTATTTTATGCATTTAAAAACAATATCCTCAGAAGGGGTTCATAGGCTTTCTCAACTGCAAAAGGGGTCTAAGACATAAAAAAGCTAAGAACTATAACAAAGCATTAAAAGATTTTGTGCTAAACATCTGAATTATTTTGAGGCAACAGGTCTGTTATTTGGGTTCATGATGTTAAACTCAAAAAGGACTTTTGAGAATTCTGGTCTGAGTTGGAACATTTCATTTTCAAAATCATTTGAGACTTCAGTACTTTTTTTCATGTGTTTCATTATTAAATATAATTTCTAGACTTTGAAAAAAATAAGGTTTAGTGCTAGAAGGAAATTTAGAGATTGTCTAATTCATTGCTTTAATTTTACAAATAAATAAACAGATCCAGAGAGAAGTGATTTGCCAGAAGCCACACAATTAATCCGTAGCAGAGCCAGGATTAGAACAGAGGTCTTCACATTCTGTGTACTTTTCATTATAACATGTTGCAACCACAGGTGATAATCCCAGTTCTGGCCAGTGGCCTTGTAAATAAACGGGTGCCTTTGGTCACAAGAATTGAGTGGTGACGTGGCTGGCACAGTTTTGAATCATTTCCATGACTAGAAAAACAACTGCAAGTGTGTTTCCCCATTGGTGGAGAGGGGGTTTTATCTTCATGTACAATCACAGCACATTTATGTTATATTAATATTATTATACATAGTGTCCCAAAAGTTTATATTATGTTAAAAACTACGGGTTGTCTCTTTAATGTTATCATATGGGATGTCTCCCAAATCTTAATGCAGTTATGCCATTAAGGCTTAACTTTAGTAGCTAAACGATTATTGTGTCTCTGTTTCATCTAAGCTTTGTGTCTCCTCTATCAGATAACATAATAGGTGATTGATAAATTTTTTTTGTAAACTGAACCCATATATTTAATTTTTCTGGTTTTAATAAATGAACCAATTTGGACATGGAGCAAACTTAAATGTTTCCTCAAACTTTTGAACCAGAACAAGGCTAGAATATAAAAATTTTTTTTTAGGTTCAAGTTCTTGCCTCCGACCCCCTCAATCTTGGCCAAAATGTGTTCTTCATTGGTGCAGTACGTACCACAATGCATTCCAACTGTTTTAAGCATATGAGCCAATGAAAGTATTACCATTGAGTTTTTGGGGTGCTGGGACCCCAAAATAGCGACACAAGGGTCCTGTCCGAATGAATTCAACCCAAGCCAAAAGCAAAGGTTTATTAGAATCCTGATTGGGGTGAGTGAGATTCACAGTGAGTCTGCACTATTAGCTAGATTTTAAGAATCTGAGCACCGTAATGGAGACAAGGTAGACCTTGTATACAGAAAGACTATGGGAAAGATCTAGGAGTGGCCAGGTAGTCTGGGGTGACTGTGAGGAGTGGTCTAGGGAGGATCTGGATGGGAGTGGCAGTAAGCTGGGGTGACCAGAATAACGGAAGACCAGGTGAACAACAGGGACCTAGACCACATGGCCAAGGGAGAATGGGATCTAGATGGTATCAAAGATGAGAAGGTAACAGACAGTGAAGGGCTGGGTGGGTCAGAGGTAACAGAATTGGGAGATTGGGCATAGCCACAGTGAAAGGCTAGTGGGGTGGATTATAGCCTCAGGAGAATGCTAGATGGTTCCTTGAGCAAGTGGGAAAATTTAAGGGGTTCAAGGTGGGGGTTTCCAGAGCCTATACCCCATCATTCCCCACTCAAATAAATAAGACCCAAATTCTTTTAGGGTAAGGGGCAAAGGTCTCTGCTCGGGCCCGTACCCCGTCACTACCAAGACAGAAAAACTAGGCAGAGTGTTGATGGTAAGATCCTCTTGTGAATGTGACACCTGCCAGTAGCACTGTGAGTCTAGGAAGGGGAGAATGAAGTCCATTGGTGAAATGGTTGGTTAACTTGATGGGTTAGAATCCTCTTGTTGGGGACATGATGGTCCTGGGTTTTCTCCCCCATTAGATTGTAAACTCTTTGAGGGCAGAGAATGACTTTTGCCTCTTTTTGCATCCCCAGTGCTTAGCACAGTGTTTGGCATATAGGAGTCACTTAAGAAATATTAAGTGATTGATCGATTCTTCTGTGGGCCAGTTGGTTTCTTTTCTGATTTGTGGCCACAGATTTTACTCATGACTGACTTACCAGTACGTGCCATTTTGTTGAAACAAAGACTAGATTATATAGTAGGAAGAACATTGGCTCAAGATTAGAGCAGTTGGGCTTCTTATTCTAGCTCTATCACTTATTAGCAGTGTGAATTTGGAAAAAGTCATTATCTCTTGTCTTAACTCAAGTTTCCTCATCTGTGAATGAAGGAATTAGACCCTATGGACACTTCCAGCTTGAAAATTCTAGAATTCTGTGATTTTAAGAGTAGGAATGGGTTCATGAAGACCTTTATTATTAAAAAAATATATCTATTACTCAGAGCTCATGTCCTATGTGATCAAGAGAGTTATCTTCCTATAGGCAGCTAACATCTCTGTGGAATGTGGTATTTATAACTGACCCATTCTGTGTGCAGAGCACTGAGCTTGAAGTCATAGAATGTACTCTGTTAGACTATATGCTCCCAGTTATTGAAGTTTTCTGGGAGCAGTATAGTCTAACAGAGTCCTAGGAGAAGTCTGAGGAAAGTCTTTACCCATCAGACAGTCAGGAAGAGCTTCATTGGTGAAGTTAGCATTTGAATTGGGATTTAAAAGAGTGGGAAGAATTCATTTTTAGAAAGGGGCATTAATTAACTAAGGTAGTTTAGTAAATAAGTATGAAACATTCCCCTTCAAAGTCTATGACATTCTTCCACAAGTACATACAGAGACCAAGGGAAAGTAAGTTCAAGTTTGACTACAAGTGGCGAAGGGCATAACTCACAGCTCCTGGTCCCTTTGCTGGAGTCCTCAAGGTATTCCCCTTAGATGCAGGGTGATTGTCTGCTGGGTTCCTTGTAAAGTTCTGAAGCTGCCTTTCTTGACTGTCTAGTTTGAGCCTGGCTCCCAATGCAGTGCAGACACTGCCATCCGTCATTGGTGTTCCTGGGATACTGCTTAGGTCAATGATGAGTCTAAATCCTTTGACCTTTTGAAAGTTGCAAGGTCATCCTCTAGTTGGGGGAAAGGGGAGAAATGGAAACACATTACCTCTCAAGGCAATTCCTTCTCAGTGGCCTAGCTAGAGCTACCCTATTCTATAAGCTTCTAAAAACTGGAATATCCCAGTCCCGAGCGTTGTCGTCTTGTTTTATAGGAGACACATAGGGCAAGACTGACTCCTTTTGGGGAGCATTTCATTTATTGGCTTCCAGGGACTTCTTGAAGAGTACAGACAGCTTGTCTGTACCCTTGGTTGATTCAGTAGAGGTGTCCTCATCTGGTTAAGCTGGCTACTTTGGGTGGGGGGAGGCAGGATGATTGAGTGAGTGATTCAGTCAGACATTGCCCTTAAACACTAATAAAGGGAGATAATATATAGAAGGAAATGGTGTTTTGGTTTGAGAAGTTATGGAAATGTTGAGAGGAACTATAGAGGAGTTGATTGGCACTGTATTTCCAGTAGCAAGGGCAGTATTGATTTGAGGAACAGGTGGAAAGGCTGATAAAGCAGATACTAGGGAGAAGACTGTTTGGAATGAGAAACATGTCTGGGGCTGTCAAGGTACAGGGGGCCGTGTGGGTTTGCACTCACACACTTATCAGTTAGGAGAGTATGGGTTTAGGACAGGAATTCCAGAGCTCTCTGAGAGATAGAGGGGGGTTATTCTAGATAGAGAAAACAGCCTACGTAAAGCCATGAGCACACAGTGCATACTTGGAGACTGGGGGGGGGGGGTGTTATAGAGTGCATGAGAAGAGTAATATGAGATAAGGCTGAAAAGGGCGGGGCGGTATCAGGTTGTTGCAGGACTTGAATTCTAGGTAGAGGTGTCTCAATTTTACTTGGTAAGTTATATGAAGCCAATGAAAATTTTTTGAGCTGTAGTGGCATATATATTAGCCCTGTACATGAGGATTTGAGGCAGCTAGGGGCGCCATGGTGCACAGAACGCCAGGCCTGGAGTCAGGAAGGCTCATCTCTCTGAGTTCAAATCTAGCCTCAGACACTCACTAGCTGTGTGACCCTGGGCAAGTCACTTCACCCTGTTTGCCTCAGTTTCCTCATTTGTCAAATGAGCTGGAGAAGGAAATGGCAAACTGCTCCAGTATCTTTACCAAGAAAACCCCAAATGGGGTCACAAAGAGTCAGACACTACTGAATGACTGAACAGCAAATTTCATTGACAGCTAAGTGGATAGCATGCTAGACCTAGAGTTGAGAAGATCTGAGTTCAAATTCAGCCTTAGACACACATGCCCATATACATGTATATGCATTTATATATGCGTACTACATATGTGTGTATGTGTGTGTATATATTTTACGTAATTCTAAGACATGTCAAGATAGAATCATTCCTGTGTAGGGCTGAGAATTAAGGAGATCAGAAAATTGTAGGGGCCCTTTGTCAGAGGAGGCTCTGTCAGTAGAAATATTGGAGTCCTGGAGGATTCTGGCCATGGATAAGCAGAGAAGGAAGACCACAGACCAGCTAACAAATCCCTTGAAAAAAGCTGAAAGCACCGTGGGGACAATCTAGCGTTATTGACCATTCTGATGAGTGTCTCAGCTGGATCTCATCCCGAGCTTTCCAGTAGAGCCTTCTTAGAAAACATGGACGGGAATGAAGTCCTGGTGCACAGGACAGTGACTTGGAAAGCATGTGATTTGGGGATCATGTGTCTATCTGACCTTTGAAATGTAGCCTGCCCAGGCACGAATGCTAACAGCTTGTAACCACTAGATCGCACCACTCCCTTCTCCATTATTGGTGGGAGATGGCTGTGATTCATGAATCACGGGAAATGAACAGATGGGACCGGGCTGTCTTCTCTATGCTTTCAGTTTGGATGCCCAGCTTTCCCAGCCCGTGCCTAGAAGTACCGTGGAAATAATAGAAATGAAGGACTGGAGACACCTAAGAGGAAGCGACAGGGGCAGGAGGGAAGTTGTGAATGAGCGTCCAGGCTTCCCTGCTGTTCCTGGACCTCTCTGAGATCACACCAAGAGCACAGCTGGTCCAAGGTCAGCCATGCAGCTTTTGCAATTGCTGGCCCCTGCCCGCCAAGTGTGTCTTCTGCTGACCTGCCCTGGCACTGCCTGGTCTGAAATTCTCACAGTTAGAGTCACTCTTTGGGGTTCTCAAACCCCAAATTGGTGGCGGAGCTTCCAGGAGATCACCCCTAAGATGTCCATGACAAGGGAGAAGGGGCCCTGGTTCTCTCCTTTTAACACAACAGTAATATAATGGAAAGAGCAAATGACTTAGAATTAGTGGTGGTGGTTAGTCAATCATAGCTGACTGTTCCTGACTCTATTTGGGGTTTTCTTGGCAGAGATACTGGAGTGGTTTGCCATTTCCTTCTCCAGCTCATTTTACTGATGAGGAAACTGAGACAAACAGAATGAAATGACTTGCCTAGGGTCACACAACTGGTAAATGTTTGAGGCCAGATTTGAACCCAGGAAGATGAGTCTTCCTGACCTCAGGCCTTGTGTTCTGTGCCTCAATAGAAAAGCAGTGAGCAGGACCCCCGAAAAAAGACATGGGATACGTAAATTTTGATGGACATGGAAGGAAAGATTGGTACCAGAGAACAGTGCCTCGGCAGGGCTTGCTACAGAGCAGGGCCTAAGTTGCTACACAGGGGCTCTAGGTTTTTGTAGAATCAAGGACAGACAAGGTAAACTTCACCTCCTGAAGAATTTCTGCAAGGTCCTACCCTGTGTGTGCATGCCATGGCCTGGGCCTGCCCCTACGCACACTCATTCCTTATCCCCTTTGACAATTTATCACTCCCTTCCCCGCCATAAGCCAGGCTCCTGAAGCAATTAGCCATTGGCCTTGGAGTGTCACCATCCCCCATGGCCAGTGCCTTCCTGTGCCTGGTCAGTTTCTTTTTCCTTGTTCTCTGGAATACTGGCCCCAGAACCCTCTGGTGTCAGGCGGGGGGTTGATGGAGTAGGATAACGGACTAAGGAAAGAAGGGGTCACCTTTGTGATACTGGGGAAGTTAACAGTTAACACTGTTGTCTTTTTAGGATGTTTGGTCCAGGAAGAGAGTATAACTTTACCCGGCCCAATGAGAAAGGAGAGTTTGAGATTGCCGAAGGGATCAGTGCCACTGTGTTTCGAACAGTGCTGGTAAGGAGCCTACCCTGCTCTTCCTTCTCAGAAACTGCTGAGTCTGCCACAATGACATTCCACTTCAGTGCATACAATAATCCTGTAGGGTTCCAGTTCAAGATTCACCTGCTGGAGTCCAGCTTTTTTGTCCTCACTTTCTGTCCCTTTGGCATGTGTGTCCCCTCTCCCCAAAGTTCTGGGACCTGATCAAACAGCCAGGCCAGCAGGGAACTCTTTAGCAATTTTTTCGCCTTACACATCCATTTGGGCATTACTTAATCCAAATGTCATGTTGACACGACCAAGAGTGAATTGGAAAAAGGAGTAATTTCTTATTTTCTATGTCTGCATTTTTTCCCCATCTGTTTACAGGATTATTACAAAACTGGAATCATTAACTGTCCCGATGGAATTTCCATCCCTGACCTTAGAGACACCTGTGATTATCTCTGCATTAACTTTGACTTCAATACCATCAAGTGTCAAGATCTGAGTAAGTGCCAAAGAATTAGTAGCTAGCTAGGATTTACACAGGGCAGCGAGGCAGCACAGTGGATGGGCCCTGAGCCTGAAGTCAGGAACATTCATCTTCCTAAGTTCAAGTCCCGCTTCAGACACTTACTAGCTATGTGACCCTGGCTAAGTCACTGAACCACTACCTGCCCGTCTAGAAAACGAGCTGGAGGAGGAAATGGCAAACCAGTCCAATATCTTTACCAAGAAAACTCCAGATGGGGTCATGAAGAGTTGGACTTGATTGAATGGGCTAGGCACTTTACCAGTATTATTTAATTTGATCCTCACAATAGCACTGGGAGGTAGGTGCTATTGTTATCCCCATTTTATATTTGAGGAAACTGATGCAGACAGAGCTTAAGTGACTTGTCCAAGATCATACAACTGTAAGTGGCTGAGGCTGGATTTGAGTAGTTGGATAAGTGGTTCACAGAAGTTGGCAAGTAAGAATGTACCAAGTGATCCTTGGGCTAGACTAAGGATGAACTTAAGTCTTTCTAACCCCAGGCCCAGTGCTGTATCTGTTGTGTCGTCTAGCTGCCCATAGAGATCATAAGAAGTAGAGTTATGACTTGAATCCAAGTCTTCCACGTACATGTCCAATGGTCTATCCACTTCACCGTCTACCTACCTGCCAATTACCCATTGAAGTTACATTGTATTTACTTGCTTGTAATGGAATGAGTCTTGCATATCAAATTCTGATCTAGAGCCTGGATTGAAAACCATCTGTGATGGCACATTCCCACAATAGTTTGTTTCTTCACTCGATTCGAGTTACTGTGGGGTATTAGAATAAATAGGAGCCAGGAAGTGTGAAAACAGTGAATCAACATGTGACTTCACTTCTCTGGCCTATCTAAGTGTAAAAAGGAGGTAATTAATGCCTTCTATGAGGTACTGTCGGGATTTGCTAATAAATCTTTCATTAATTACATTAGAAATGAAAAATCCAGTAGAGTGGTAGGAGAGAAGGGTTGAAAATAAGTTAAAATATGAAGCTGGAATTCTGACTTTTCTGCTGGGTTTGGCACTAACCTAGGGAAGTCCCTTCATTTCTCCAGACCTCATTTGACTCTTCCCCTGGGTACTTTAACTCCCTGAAACCGGGGTTGGTAGCATTCTCTGAAGGGGACCGCTAATGTAGTGGTCCCCAGAGGGTGGTATGTAAGGATGTCCTTAGACTTGACTTGTATATCATATTGTGTAGATTACCACCACCATCTACTTCCTGCAGTCATACTCATGTCCTGCTGAAAAGTGCTGGAGGAGTCATGCAACCATATTGATGGAATCTACTTTAATTTGTTAGCTCACCTCAGTTGGTCCCTTAATGCAGCAAGGCAGCCCTCTTACTCTCCCCCTAGTTGCTCCTCTGCTTTATTCCCCACAGCTATTCCAAATCCTCTCGTCTCTCCTTTGGCTCCCTATACTCCCCCTAATCCTTTCTCTCTTAGCAACTAGGTGGCATGGTGGAAAGCTTGCTGGATTTGGGATATGGAAGACTCCTGTTCTAATCCAGTTTCAACCACCTCCTAGCTGTGTGATCTTGGGCAAGTCACTTAACCTCTGTCTGCCTCCTTTCCTTAACAACAGAATGGGGAGAAAAATAGCACTTTCCTCCCAAGGTTGGTGTGAGAATCAAAATAAATGAACCAAAAAGTACTTTATAAATGCTACCCATTATTATCATCTATTATCCCTTATTCAGACTGTCCTAGCTCCTAATCCCATATAAAATCCATCACCTAGAATGGCAACTCGGTGGCATGATGGATAGAGTACTGGACCTGGAATCAGGAAGATGTGAGTTCAGATCTTGCCTCAGACACTCACTAGCTGTGTAATCCTGATTGAGCCACTGAACTTCTCTCGGTCACAATTTCTTAATCTGTAAAATGAAGATAATAATAGCAACTATCTCCTAGGGTCATTGGGGCATAAAATGAGATGATATTTGTAAAGCACTTTGCATACTTTAAAATACTATATAAATGCTAATATCATTATCATTATTATTATTATTATTATTATTATTATTATTAGCAGAAGCCCTGCCTCATACTTTATTGAGAAAATAAAGGTCTTTAACCATGCGTTCCCTCTTGCTCTCTCTGTAGCTCAGAATCCCTTGACAACACCCCCCCCCCATTCTCTCTTCAACCCTCTGATAAAGAAGTGACCCTTATCCTTGCCAAGGGCAGCCCCTTATATCCCCTCTTCTTCAGTCTCCTGGCAGATTGCCAGCACTATTATCTCCTTTCTCTCTCTAATCTTCACTATCTTTCCTATTTGCTGACTTATTCCTGACTATCTACAAACATGCTTAGTCTCCCTCATCTCAGCCAAACTCTTGGAAAAAGTTGTCTCTATTCCTTGCTCCCTGTTCTCTCTCTCACTTCTTAATCCTTTCCTATATGGGAGGAGGAGGAGGACTACTAGCTTTTATGTAGCCCTTTAAAAAGATTTTCAGAATGACTTCATGTGGATAATGGGTGTCACATTCCCATTACTTACCTTCTCAGTGGGTGAGGGAGGGGCTGGATTTGGAAAAGAAATTTTTTTTTAGGCAATTGGGGTTAAGTGACTTGTCCAGGGTCACACAACTAGTCAGTGTGTCAAGTGTTTGGTCTAAGGCCGGATTTGAACTCAGTTTCTCCTGACTTCAGGGCTGGTGCTCTATCCACTGTGCCACCTAGCTGCCCCTGGAAAAGAAATTTTTTAAAAATTAACAAATAAAAGGTTTGCAAAGTGCATCATATACATTAATTATCTCATTTGTGAGATAATCGCCTCGCTCTGTGAGGCAGGGGCTGCTGTCACTCCAAAAAATGAAGATAGTTCCTGTTCCATGGCCTGTTTCTCTCTAGAAATGTGAGCAGCAAGTCAGTTGGTAAGCAGTTAGTGCCTGTTATGTGCCAGCTACTCCGCTCAGTGCTGGATTGCAAGAAAGGATTTGAACATACATTTTTTTTCTCCTCAGGTGCTTTGCTGCATGAACTGTCCAACGACGGAGCTCACAAGCAGTTTGATCACTACCTCGAGGAGCTGATCTTACCCATCATGGTGGGCAGTGCCAAGAAAGGGGAACGGGAGTGCCACATCGTTGTGCTGACTGACGAGGATTCCGTAGACTGGGATGAGGACCATCCTCCCCCCATGGGGGAGGAATATTCTCAAAGTAGGAGTTCTGCATATATTTTTTTCCATTTTAAATAATATTTTATGTTTTCCTCCAATTACACATTTGAACAATTTTTAACATTCATTGTGGGTTATTTTTGTAAATTTGAGTTCCAAATTCTATCCCTCCCTTCCTCTCCTCCTCCATCCCTGACGTGGTAAGCAATCTAATATAGATTATACATGTGCAATCATGTGAAACATTTCCATATTAGTCATTTTATGGAAGAAAACAAAGTAACAAAGTAATGAAGGATGGAAGGAAGAAAGAAAAAGATAGAAATAGTATGGTTGGTTCTGTCTTCAGATGCCATCAGTTCTTTCTCTGGAGGCAGAGAACATTTTATATCATTAATCCTTCGGGATTGTCTTGGATCATTGTATTGCAGAGACTAGCTAAGTCATTCACAGTCATTCCTCATATATTATTGGTGTTATTGTGTACAACATTCTCCTAGTTCTGTTCACTTTACTTTTCATCAGTTCACATAAGGCCAGGTTTTTCTGAAATCATCTGGCTTGTCATTACTTACAGCACAATAATATTCAATTATACTCATGTACTACAGCTTGTTCAGCCATTCCCCAATTGATGGGCATCTCCTCAATTTCCTATTAGTCACCACAAAAAGAGCTGCTATAAATATTTTTGTGCAACTGGGTTCTTTTCTCTTTTTTTAAAAATCTCTTTGGGATATAGTCCTAGTAGTAGTAGGGTAGTCAAAGTAGTCAAAAGGTGTGCACAGTTTTGATAGCCCTTTGGGCATAGTTCCAAGTTGTTTTCCAGAATGGTTGGATCAATTCACAACTCTACCAACAGGACATTAGCGTCCCAGTTTTTCCACATTTATCATTTTCCCTCCAATATTTATCGTTTTCCTTTTTTTGTCATATTAGCCAATCTGATAGATGTGAGGTGGTACCCCAGAGTTGTTTTAATTTACATTTCTCTAATCCATAGTGAGTTAGAACATTTTTTCATATGACTATATCTTTGATTTCTTTGTCTGAAAACTGCCCATTCATATCCTTTGACCATTTATCAGTTGGGGGAATGACTAGTATTTTTATAAATTTGACTCAGTTCTTTATATATTTGAGAAGTGAGGCCTTCTTATCAGAGATACTTGCTGTAAAAAAATGTTTTCCAGTTTTCTGCTTTCCTTCTAGTTTTGGTTGCATTGGTTTTCTTGGTGTAAAAACTTTTAAATTTTATATAAACAAAATTATCTCCTTTACATTTAGTAATGCTCTCTATGTCTTACTTGTTCCTAAATTCTTTCCTTATCTATAGATCTGTCAGGTAAACTATTCCACGCTCTCCTTGTTGTTATTGTTGTTGTTGTTTCTCCTTCATTCTCAAAGAGGATCATGACATCAGGAAGATGATGCCATGACTTGCAAATGAATTGGATTTGAGTGAGGGAGGGCTGTGCAAGGACACCAGCCTCACTTTCTCCTCTAGAGCCATCTGGGTCCAGTGGCAAGATATAGATGAAGGTGATTGGAGATGATCCCACATGGTCTCCTAATTTACTTATTATATCACTCTTTATGTACCCATTTTGACCTTATCTTGGTGTATGGTATGAAATGTTGGTGTGTACCTAGTTTCCGCCATACTGTTTTCCAGTTTTCCCAGCGGTTTTTGTCAAATCAAGTTTTTGTCCCAAAAGCTTGGCTCTTTGGGTTTATCAAATACTAAGTTACCATTGTCATTTGCCACAATATATTGTGTACCTAATCTATTCCACTGATCTACCTCTCTGTTTCTTAGCCAGTACCAGATTCTTTTAATGGTCTCCGTCTTATAATACAATTTGAGATCTGGTCACATTTTTTTTCATTGATTCCCTTGATGTTCTTGACCTTTTGCTCTTCCAGGTGAATTTTATTATTATTTTTCCTACCTCTATGAAATAATTTTTGGTAGTTTAATTGATATGGCACTGAATAAGGACCTCTACGTGTATTATGAGAATGCCTGGGGTTCAGAAGGATGGGCTAAACTAGTTTAGGCCAGACAGAAATACTAATGGTAGAAATTTGAACCCAGCCAATTCTGTGAACCAAAAATCAGACCCAAACTCAACAGTTTGCTAAATTTGTCCAGTTGACTATATAATGAACTCCTAATTTATGCCAACCTCATAGGCTGGAGGATCCCTACTTCTACCCTGGTACTTAGCATGCTACCAAGTAGATGTTAGGTCCATCATACATGTGTGTAGCTAATATAGATGATAGCGTCATCTTCTTCCTGAATTATTTCATGATCCCATAATCTTAGAATTTTATAGTTAGCAGAGACCTTAGAGGCCTGCTAGTTCAAATGTCCAGTCCATGAAGTAAGCCACATATTAATAATAATATTCTAAGAATAAAAATAAGTCATGTCTGACTCTTTGTGACCCCATTTGGGGTTTTCGTGGCAAAGATACTGGAGTGGTTTGCCCTTCCCATCTCCAGTTCATTTTACAGATGAGGAACTGAGGCAAATAGAGTCAAATGACTTGCCCAGGGTCACACAGCTAATAAGTATCTGAAACCAGATTTGAACTCACAAAGATGAGTCTTCCTGACTCCAGGCCTTGCACTCTTATCTACTGTACCACCTAGCATTTATATAGTGCTTTTAAAAGGTTTGCAGATTAACTTCACATGTATAATCGGTATCATATTCCCATTTCTTGCCTCCTCAGTGGGTTGGGAATGGGCTGGAGAGAAAGTATTTTAAATCAACAAATTAGAGGTTTACAATGTGCATTATGTACACTATTTATCTCACTTGTGAGATAAATTTATTTTTATTTATTGTGAAATAAATTTATTTATAGTGAGATTATTTATCTCACTTGTGAGATAATAATAGATAAAGCTGTGAGGCAGCTTCTCTTATCCTTTTTTCTAGATGAGGAAAGTGAGGCTGAGAGAGGCTAATTTGCCCAGAGTCACATAGTGAGATTCAAATGCAGGTCTTTCTGATTCTAAATCTGATGCTCCATCTACTGTGCTATCAAGGTGCAATATCACTTCTTTCCAATTGGTTATCCAGCCTCTACTTGAGTATTTCCAATGACAAAGGGTTCACCATCTCCGGAGGCAGCCTTCTTAGAGTTTCGTTACCTTGGGGTAGCTTTTATTGTTGGAAAATTCCTTATATTCAATTTAGTTCAACTGTCAAGTACTTACTGTGTACAGAACATTGTGTTGGGTTCTGAGGGAGATGCAGAATTTAGATAAGCTGATCCCTGCCTTTATGGAATTTATATCTCATTGGGTGACACTTATGTTAATAACTATGATATGCAGGAATATGTGAAAATGACGTTCTGAAATGTAAGGAAAGTGCTATTTGAAGGCCAGAGCCTGGGGTAAAGGCTGATTTTTCAGGGGGTTGGAAGTGTTCAGGGAGGGCTTCCTAGAAAAGGTAGCATGTGAGTTGTAATGATCTGAAATCTGCCTTCCTAGAACCGCCACCCATTGGATCTAGTTCTGCTCTTTGGATCAGATCCACAGGGAATCAGTCTAATCTTTCATTGTATGAAGACAACTGTGATGTCTTCCCTAAAACTAGGGAACTTCCCTAAGCTAAAGATTCCCACTACTTTCAGCCATCCGTCATATGGTATGGTTTTGAGATCTTCAGACCTCTCTTGGTCACCCTCTCCTAGATGTTTTCTAGTCTATCAATGTTTCAGTGGTACATAATGCTCCAGGTAGAGTTTCTACTTAGACTATTACTTACTTTGATCTGAATTTTATACTTGTATTTATCTACTTTATATATTATATATATCATATATCTGTGTTGTATATTATAGATATCGTGTCTGTATTATATTATTATATGTCTTATATTACTTCCTTTTACCTGAATTTTATACTTATATTTATCTATATTATATATTATAGATATCATATATCTATGTTATAGATATTATGTCAATATTATATATTATAGATGTTATATATTATCTCCATTATACGTGCACTTATCTCATTTACCTATGAAGTTGCATTTATTTTTAATAGGATCTTAGTTTTGGAACTCAAAGGCACATCATTTAGTCCCACCCTCTTATTTTACAGATGAGGAAACTGAGGCTAGAGGTTGTGTTTTGTCCAGTCACACCAGGTAGTAAAGAGAAGAGCCAGTATTCAAACCCACATTATCTGACTCCAAATCCAGTGACCTCTCCAGTCCACCATCCTGCCTCTCCTTGCCAGTGCACACCGTCGGCCTAGCCTTGTTGTTCACTAAAAGCCCTGGGCGTTTTTTATTTGAGCTGCTGTTGAACTAAGTTTCTCCCATCCCAAGTGCAGCATTTTGCATTTCTCCCTGCCAGAGCCAGAACAAGGCATTTGTCTACACTAGACAAAATTTGGAAAATTGGCCTCTTTTGTGTTTCTTCCCATTAGAAATGTTTAGCCTTCACTGTCATGTGTGCAACCTATTACAAAATAAATAGCAACACGTTGCAGCGAGCAGAATTTTCTGGCCTTAAAATATATGCATTTGCTAAAAGCTTTGTATTGATCTGAACGATATGGGTCACTAAGGATATCTCTGAAAGAGTAAACAAAAAACATAGGCGTACTTACATAGTTCAGTGGAGCTGTGATTTCACTGGTGTTTTTACGCACACTGGTGTATGCAAACTTCCACCAGCGTGGAGAGTAGCCCATCCATGTCTTCTCATTCTGGGTAATTGTCATCTGATTCCTTCCATTGGTCCTTCTAAAGGGATTTTACCAACATATTGGAAGCCTTTCTTTTAGGTCTTTTAATATTCTATGGAAAATCCCCCAAAAGATATGAGAAGACGTCTACCCTTCTCCTTTGCAGAGGTGAGGGGCATGCAGGGTGGGACATTATTCTTTCTTTCAGACTTTTTCCATATATTGATTAGTCTTGCTCAGTGCTTTTTTTCTTTAAAAATATTATTTGTAGCAAAGAATTGGAAATTGAAAGGAATTGATGCCCATCAGTTGGGGAATGGCTGAACAAGTTGTGGTATATGAATAGAATAGAATACTATTGTGCTTTAAGAAGTACTTTAACAAGCAGGCAGATTTCAGAAAAACCTGGAAAGACTCACATGAATTGATTCAAAGTGAAGTGAGCAGAACCTGGAGAACAGTGTATGCAATAACAATATTGTGGGATGATCAACTATGATTGACTTCACTCTTCTCAGCAATACAATGATCCAAGACAGTTCCAAAAGACTCACAATGGAAAATGCTATCCACATCCAGAGAAAGAACTATGGAGTCTGAATGCAGACTGAAGCATACTATTTTCTCTTTATTTTTTTCATAGTTTTTCCCTTTTGTTCTGTTTCTTCTTATACAACATGACTAATATGGAAATATGTTTTACATGATTGCACATATGTAACCTACATCAAATTGCTTACTGTTTTAGGGAAAGAGGGAGGGAGAAAATTTGGAACTCAAAAATTTATTTAAAAATGAATGTTTAAAATTGTCTTTACATGTAATTGGAAAAAATAAAGTACTATTTAAAAGAAAAAATACTATTTGCCAAGTGGGGTGGCTCTCTGGGAAGGAGGAAGAAGGGAGCAGATACTGGGAGAAATTATTTTCAAAAAACAAGAAATATCAATAAAATAAAAAAATAGATTCTGTGGAAAGCACTGAGACTGTCTATGTTATCCTTTGCAATATGACAAGCTTACCTCCTTTCCAGACATATGTCCTTTCTGTCTTCCATATCACTGTTGTTGTTTAGTAGTCGCGTCCAACTAATTATATGCAAGTCATACTGGTAATATAATGCGGTCTACTGATCCCTACCATCTGTCTTTTTCATTGACTTTTGGGTCACATGCCATTTCTCTGATTTGGAGATACAGTGTTTCATGATTCACAGCCATATAAAATATAGAGATCAGAGAGGCTACAAAGAGAGACTTAACAGAGACCCAGTTCTCTGGAAGCTTACCACCTAACAGGCAGGGCAGGAGGGATGTCTCTGGAAGCCTCGCTTTCCCCATTATTAACCCTGGTTTTCTCTTTCTAGTTCTTTATAGCTCCAAGCTCTACAGATTCTTCAAATACATTGAGAACCGGGACGTTGCAAAAACCGTATTGAAAGAACGGGGACTAAAAAATATCCGAATTGGTATCGAGGGTAAGAAAATTGAAAGCTGTCTTGTGATTCTGACTTCAGGCTTCAACTTCATAAGCACTACTGTGAACCTCAAAGAGGTCACACATAAAGACATTATCATAAATGATATTTTAGCAGTGTTTTCTTGCCAAAATTTCCATTTTCCTTTTTCCCCAATGTTTTTGTGCTTTAAAACAACTTTGAAATTAGGTAACTTTATTGCCTTCCCAGAGTAATAATAGCTAATAGCATTAATGTAGCACCTGAAGGTTTGCAAAGCACTTTACATATATTATCAAGAAAGAGACAAATGAATTTCCTCCATCTGGGTTAGAAGGTGATGATGCATCTTACTGCCCTTGACTACAGGAGATTTTATATATTATGTATATATATATATATATATATATATATATATATATATATATATATATATATATAATATATATATATATATATATATATATATATATATATATATATATATATATATATATATATATATATATATATATATATATATATAATATATATATATATATATATATATATATATATATATATATAGCACGTCCCTTCTCCCTCCCTTCCCCCCCACAGCCCCACTTCCCCAATACACTGTGTCTGGTTTGGGTTAGGTCTAGTGTGTCTTGGGATAGGAGATAAAGTTGACATTCCCTCTAAAGTGCCTTGCCAACTTCCTGATGGGTGCTTTCTGAGATATGCTGGGAGCTTCTGTACTTTGAAGGGTTTCTTTTCCCTTTCTTTCCTTCTTTCTTTCTTTCTTTCTTTCTTTCTTTCTTTCTTTCTTTCTTTCTTTCTTTCTTTCTTTCTTCTTTCTTTCTTCTTCTTTCTTTCTTCTTTCTCTTCTCTCTTCTCTCTCTCTCTCTCTTCTCTCCTCTCTCTCTCTCTTTTCCTTCCTTCCTTCCTTCCTTCCCTTCCTTCCTTCCTTCCTTCCTTCCTTCCTTTTCCTTCCTTCCTTCCTTCCTTCCTTCCTTCCTTCCTTCCTTCCTTCCTTCCTTCCTTCCTTCCTTCCTTCCTTCCTTCCTGTCTTTCTTTCTTGTTTTGGGTTTTGTTTTGTTTTGATTTTTTACTCTGTTGGGAGCCACTAGGTGGTGCAATGGATAGAGCAGGCTCTATCTGGGCTCAAATCCTGACTCAGAAACTTGCTGGCTATGTGACCCAAGGCAAGTGACTTAACCTCTGTCTTCCTCACTATAAAATGGGGAATAATAATCACACCTACCTGCCAGAGTTGTTGTGAGGATTAAATGAAATAACATTTTTAAAGTACTTTGTAAACCTTTAAGCATTATATTAGTGCTAGCTATTATTATTGTTGTTGTTATTATTAATTATCATTATATCAGACTCTGGAGTTGACAGTGATGAGAACTGATGACAGTATTCTCTTCTGATTCCACTAGAAGGGGCAGAATGGCTTTTCCTGAATTATGCCGTTTCTTAGTGTGATATAATGAAAAGAGCACTGGATTTGAAAGTCTGGATGGTTGGATTTGAATCTTGGCTCTGCCAGGCACTTAACCTTTTCACCTTCATTTTCCTTATCTGTAAAATGGGCACGATAACAATTGCACTACCCAAATGTTTTTTGTGAGCTTTAGAACTCAAAAGGACCTTAGAGATCAATGTCTCATCCAACCCTTTCGTTTTGCAAATGAGGAAACCTAGGCCCAGAGAGATAAAGTGATTCACCCAGAGTCAGACAGGTGGTAAGTGGCAGAGCCAGGATTCAAACTCAGGTCCTTTCATTCAAGATCTAGCACTCTTTCCATCACACTATCCTGGTACTAAAACAAACAAACAAAAATTGCTGTGTAAACTTTGAAAGCACTGTCTTTAAAATATGAACTAGGAGCAAAACCTCTAATGTGTCTAGATGTTTTCACTGATAGAACATTCATTTGAGCATGTAGGTCCAGCTTTTATTTCAAACCAAATGACCTGAATCAGGAAGAGTATATCAGTGGGAAAGGAATTACAGAGAGAGTGATTCACGGCACAGCCAATCCAAGAACCATGCTTCGCTGTCTACTAGGGTGGACACCAGGCAGTCTGAGGCAGAGCATAAAGAGATAGCATAGATGCCAGGGAGAACAGTGGCCTGTTTACGAGGAAACCTGCCTTCTCTTTCAGGCTATCCCACTTGTAAGGAAAAAATTAAGAGGAGACCAGGTGGCCGGTCAGAAGTTATCTACAACTATGTGCAACGTCCATTTATCCAGATGTCTTGGGAAAAGGAGGAGGGAAAGAGCCGCCATGTTGATTTTCAATGTGTCCGAAGCAAATCCCTCACCAACCTAGTGGCAGCTGAGGAAGATGTCTCTGAAGACCAGGAGAACCTGATGCACCACCCTCCACAAGTGGATGAACTTGATCGACTAAATGCTCCACTCTCCCAGATGGCCCCCAGTGACTTCCCAGATTAGGGCCAGCCATTCATCCAACCACATTCTAAGGTCCTTTTCTTCCTGGGATGCACTCAAGGTTCATCTCACCCTGAACACAAGACATACACTCTCTCTAACCCTTCCCCCTGTCACCAATAATATTAAGGTGTATTCTTTGAAGCAAGCTGATGCCCCTAAGAGGAAATGAATAATGAGTACTGGCCACTGAATCACCAGACATTCTTTACTGACTCTGGGCACATGGGAAGCTCCTCAGGATTGGTGCTGTCCTGGAATAACTTGAGAAAGCTGAAAAGGAAGTAAAAAAAAAATCCCATTTCCTCATATAGCAAAACCCTTCCTGCCCTTCTTCCCATTCTTTTTACCCCCTTTTCCTTGCCAGGTACACACCCCACTGATTTTTGGCAGTTTCCTCAGCTGCAAGGGAGCCAGACCACCATTCCATTCTGCTGCATAGGTATCTGTGGAAGACTGTTAGAAGACTTCTAAAGAATGTACCCAGAGTTCAGCTCATCCAAGTAGAAGGAGGCCTTGTTTACAAAACAGTCAAGTTTATCAGAAGAGAATCCTTCAAGAGCTTAAATTAAATTGTCTTTTTTTTTTAAAAATTAAAACATAGCACTAGTTTATCTTTTGGTAGGGAGGGTAAATGGCATAACAATAGGATTTATGCTCTTTTAACTTCTAAATATGGGGGCCTGATTTGATTGAACATTGTGAAATAATGAAAATCAAGGGAATGAAACCATCCTGATAGTTCACTCATTCCCCAGCCAGGCTAGAAATTCAGGAATCCCGAGTAAAGCCATTATCTTGGCCCCCATTTCAGGGCTATGCTGGGGATGTGGCTGGAACGAATAGGGCCATGGCTAGAGGCTCTCCGAACATGATCAGGAATTTCTTCTGAGGCCTCAGTTATTCAGATGAAAGAATTTTAAGAGCCTTTGAAGTTTAGTACAAGGGATGGAGAAGGCCAGGATCTCAGGAATCAATAGATATAGCCCTGTCCTGGTACTAGGTAGGGGAAAACAATCAGGGACTTGGACTCTGGCTTGAACTCTGCAACCCCGTTCATGAGTTTTAGATGGCTCTTACTCCCATACCATCTAAAGGTCCATTCCAGCCCTCTTTCCTTAGAGATGTGATTGAAATGGCCTTATTATCCAGATTCTGTCCCATGGAATTTGGTGTGAGAGGGGGGAGTAATAGCAAATTCAACCTTGGAAGTATCTTTTCACCTGTTCACTCAGGGTAATAGAAGATGCCAGGTGAGAAGAAAGTATTAATGTTTGTTGTGGGTTTTTTTTTCCATACAAGTGTCACCTTCAGTGGCTCAGGATGGAGAAAATTAGGTTGATTTTTTTTTATGTCAGCTGTATTAACCTCATGCTAACCCAGAGCCTACACTGTTCTCCTACCTGCCATGCTTCTAGATCAAATTCCTCTGAGATGCAACTTGGACAACAGGTCTTAGACTATGGTTATGATCCAGGAGACAGTCAAGAGTAGGACGCAATGCTCTGAGTACAGGTAGGTCCCAGATTCGTACAAATAATGAATCTCCTGAAGTGAGCACAACATTCAAATTCACAGTGTGTATTTCCATTGGGCTGGAACCAATGACCCCATTTTACCTAATTATAACTTCTAGTAGTGTGAATTTGAATAGATGTGGCCATTCCAGGGGATTCTTTATTCATATTAATTAGGACCTGACTGTTTATGACTCTTTGAATGACTTTGTAACTGGGAATCAAATTGGATTCCAGAGCCAAATACAAGTGGTTAGGAGTTATCTTCTATTGTGTGTTATCCGTCCTACCTTTCTGGTGTTTATTGCCTCGATTCCATTGGTGTAATATAGTCATCAATTGACTATAGTTTTAGCCTTCCATAGGCTCTTTCTAAACTGCATGTTACTTTGACATTCTTACACCCTTCAAACTCGTTTAAGACACTACAGGACAAGGTACTCTCCTCTCATTTGCAGTGGTGACTCAATTATTTTGTAATCCAAGCCAAGAAAATAGTAGAAGACACATTTTGTAGCAATTGTTGTCTCAGAGAAAAAGAATAACTCGTTGACCCAGTGAGTTCTTGAGTTAGTAGTATGCTTACTACTTTTTGTGACACATTGTTGGTGGTTTCAAAATTCAAAATGCATTATATGTTGTCTTCTCAGGCATTAAAGCAATACTGTTGGCCCACCATTGGAAGATAGACACTGAATTGCTTTTCCAGTGGGGATGATTGATTCTGAGCCATCCACGCTCCCTTCTCCATCTCCTTTTTTTTTTTTAAACTGATGACATACAATATTTGTGAGTCAGGTGGCCATTGTTAGGGGTACAGACTGTGTGAGGAACCATGTTTCCTCTGTATGGAGCTAATTGGCATATCCTCAAATTAAATCTACAACCTTGACCTCATTAGCACTTAAATTCACAGCAAGACATCCTCTAAAATGGTGCTTCCTTTGTGTTTCTGAATGGACAAACCCATCATTGCAGAGATCATTCAGATTCTACAACCTTTATTTGTATATTTTAAGAAATTAATGAAGATTCGTTTTCTTGTTGAAGTCCACGTTTATTTCCCCCCCCTCAGTATTTAGCTTCTATGTTATTAATATTAAATGTAAACACTCCAAAAAGGAACTGCTACTTTGGTGTTTAAAAAAAGAAAAGGCACACAACTGTATTGCATCTATTGGAAGACATCAGTGCTATTTGAAGGATAGCTTTCTTGGGCCATCTTCATCATTTTCACAACTGTTATTAGTGTGCCCGGCTATCTAGCCCATGGAGCAATCTGTGAGCTAAAACAAGGTAGCAGAAACTGATGAGGGAAAACTGGTATTGCAATGGAATTTCTTCCCAGAGCTAGTAGTTTCTTGTTATTGTTTGTTATTTATTCAATGTCACTCACCCCTGTGGGGGAGGGCACAGTGGGGTTCACAGTTGTGAAACTCTGGGAGTTCATTTGGGTGAGGGAGTTGGTATTCTTTTGCCACCAGATTGAATGCCAGTGGCTGTCTGTATGATGACTCCACACTCATCAATCCCTGGCTCACCAAGTTAATTGCAATGTCTCCTGAGGGTCAGAGGAATGATCCCTGGGCGGAAAGTCATATCCCTTTAAACCTTTCCAAGCCATATAAAGACATGTCAGAGATAGCAGATGGATAGGTGCTGGTTCCAGGGCATCTCTTTAAGCCCAAGTATTGGCAGAACTCTGGAACTGGAGTAGACATGTTTTGTTCCCTAGTATAAATGGGGAGAATCTGATTCAATTTCTTTTCCAAGTGCCTAAATAAGTTAGTCAGGTTCTATTATACCTGAAGACAGATTGTTTCCAAAGATGTTTTATTTGCACTCAGACTATCTTTCTTCCTTGGTGGCCAAGGTGAGAATTTTTAAGAAAAAAATGGTAGTTTTCTTCTGTTTGTTACTGCATTATCTCAAGCTTGGCCATATTTCTAGTGTAGGGATGGAGCAAGAATAAGGAAGAGAGAATAGGGTAGAAATTTTGTAGTGTTAGCAAATGCTTCCATTCGCATTTCATCATGGGATCGTAGATCTAGGGTTGGAAAGAATCTCAGAGGCCATCTATACAGGCTCATGCTGGTGCCCTCTAATGTTTGAAAAGTATTCATCCTGGGGCAGCGAGGTGGTGCAGTGGATAGAGCACCGGCCCTGGAGTCAGGACCTGAGTTCATATGCAGCCTCAGACACTAACTGTGTGACCCTGGGCAAGTCACTTAACCCCAGTTGCCTCCAAAAAAAGAGAAAAAGAAAGGATGAAAAGTACTCATCCTGCCAGGGTGTGTTTTGATGAGAAGGGATGAGGGCAGTTTCCTTATATATGATTGAATTTCTGGTTTCTGCAGAGGGAGGAAAGAGAGTTAGGGAGAAAGTGATACCAAGGGGAGAAATTTTTTTTAAAAACCCTACAGAATAGTTGTATGCAGCAGCAAGAATTATTTTAAGCCTCACCTAAGAGAAAAATGTAGACTGATATGGATATCTACAAATCACGATGGAAAGAGACCTAAATGAATGGGCACAGTTTACAAATAGGGTTCCCAGAATATTGATCTAGGGTCCTCCTTTAGGAATAAGCAAACAAATCTGAATCAAAGTATAGGCCTTAAATCAAACCATGCTTGAAAAGTGTGATGTGGAGCCCTTTATTTTTAAAAAAATCTTGTCACAGAAACTTAAGAATTTGGGGGAGGGAGGCGTCATTAGTGGCACATGCCTGTAATTCCTGCTACTGAAGGAAGCTGTGCTGGTAGATCATTCGGGCTCAGGAGTTCCGAGCTGCAGTGGACTCAGCCAATCAGGTGTGCATGCTGTCAGGTACCAATATGGTAGCAGGGGGAGGGGAGGTCAGATTGCCTGTGGAGAGAAAGATTGTCCCAGGTTAGAAATTAGAGCGAGCCAAAGTTCTGGAAAGGTCAGAACAGGGACTGGCAGAACTGTGGCAGACACTTCTCCCCCACCACCCACCCTCTGTATCAAGAGCCAACCCCTTTTCCATGTGTTAAAAAAAATAAAAATGATTTAACTTTGCTGATACAGATTCCCTGATTAAGATGGGCCCCAAGAAAGTGTTATTTTTAAGCGCTACCTTCTATTTACAGGTGGGATGCTGGTTTGGTTTCCCCTGTTTTATTTTGTATTTAGTTTTAATGTTGCACTTGTTGGCCTCCTACAGTGTTTATGAGATCCTATAATCAGGATGCCTTTTTTCTATAATAAAGTTATTTCTGTGTGCCCGAGTGGTGGGGTTTGTGTTTGTTTGTTTGTTTTTTTAAGGAGAAAATGAAACTGAGCACCTACTGGTCGTCTGTTTGGTCCACTTTGAAATGTCTAACTACATACACATCAGAACCTCCTTTCCCAGTGAGATAAAATGAGATAATAATTGTAAATCACTTTGTAAATGTTAGCTTATTATTAATCACTGTGTACCTTGAGCCTTGGTCTACTGTATCATAGCCAGTTTTCTTTTCAGATCTAGCAGGTGCAGGGGCCCTCAGTGACCTCTGCTCTTCTATCCACCTTCATTCTCAAGACCCCCCAGATAACTAAAGCTGCCTATTCATTTCTTTGCTAGAGACAAAGGGATCTCAGATCCACATGGAAGTTTAAAAGGAGAAATGAAGCCTGACCACCTAAGGCTTTCTTTTATTTTAAAGTAAAAGGGGAGGGGGGTATGTGGAAAGCAGGGATTTTTTAAAAAAAGAGGAAAGCTGAAAATTAAAACCAGAAGTCTTAAGACCTCTAAGTAGTAGAAGCAGAATAGGAAAGCATCACCCTGGTGGCCCCCTTCCCTGTTCTTTATTATTCTAGTTTAATCCTATTAAGGATTTGTGGGCACCTAGGTGGTCAAATGGATAGAGTGCCCAGGCTGGAGTCAGGAGGACCTGAGTTTAAATCTAGCCTTAGACACTTACTAGCTCTGTGACCCTAGGCAAGTCACTTAACCTTGTTTACCTCAATTCCTCATCTGTAAAATGAGCTGGAGAAGGAAATAGTAAACCACTCTAGTATCTTTGCCAAGAAAACCCCAAATGGGGTCATGAAGAGTCGGACAGGACTGAAACCATTGAATAGCAACTACAGCTACATTGGAAGAGATTTGTAGACAAGGAGCACTGAATTAAATTCCAGATCTTCTATGTGACTTAGAGGCAGTAGATGTAGGGGACTTCAAGCTTGGCTTGGGATCAGGAAACCTGGGTTCAAATCTAGCCTCAGACATTTATTTTCTATGTGACCCGAGGCAAGCCACTTATCTTCTGGACCTCAGTTTCTGCTTCTGTAAAATGAAGATAATGCTAACGCCTACTGCAAAGGGTTGTGAGGATCCAATGAGATTACACTGCGTGTATATATATACATATATAGATAGATAGATAGATAGATAGATAGATAGATAGATAGATATAAAACACTTTGTAAACCTTAAAGCACTATTTAATTGTGAGATGTAATCATTACTATTGGATGAGTCACTTTTGCCTCTGAGCCTCAATTTTATTTGTAAAATGAAGGAGTTGGATTAAACAGACCCTGAAGTCTCTTCCACCTCTAAATTCCATGACTACTGTAACACCATCCCTGCCTCATTCCACCAGCCCAACCGTACTGTGCTGGAAGGTTAAGTATCTAGAAGCATGTGCTACTACTTTCAGGGTTCTAGGGATTACCCTGTAGATGGCTTTACTGCTACATGATCCTTAGCCCCCACCAGTGTGCTTCCCCTTAACAACCAGGCAGTAGATTAAATTCTTTAGCAAAAAGTATTTGCTCAAATGCTATAGCAATAACAGTAACAAACTATTTCTCCCCAAACCAGGGTCTCGCTTCCATCAATATACACAAAATCCAAGGTGGGGTGGTAGGGGACATGACAGGAAGAGTGAGCACATACTTAAAATGCTATAGTAGCATAGCATTCGTGCTCCTTACACATAAGACACATGTAGGGACAAGGTAACTCACGACTACAGAAATGCAAGGCATCAAAGCACTTTTTTTCTACGCAGTCCTCTCAAAGTTTTCTGTGGGGGATGATGATGGTGATGTATGGGTCACTCCATTGCTGAGTCGAGCTGGCTTCTTGAAGAGTATAGCACCTCTACACTGGCTTGGTAATTCAACTGGGTTTGGTCCTTAGGTGCAGTGTCTCGACTGAACATGTCAGTCTGCTAGTGGGCTGGGTCAGGAAGTTCACTTAGCTAGCTACTGAGATGGCTCATCACTGGGTTTGGTTGTGGCTGGGATGGACTGGGCAGGTCGTTCAGCCATTGGCCATGGCTACTACTGCTAGACAGGTCACTAGACTGCTGCCAGACTGGGGCAGGCAGGAACTTTGGCCCCTGGGCAGCTGCCAGACTATCCTGGGCAGGTCACTTGGCCACTGGGCTCTCCTCAGGTTCTGGCATCTCTGCAGGAAGGTTGATTTTCTGGAATCATTCTTCAATGGGCAGCTGCAGTCTTTTGCCACCTTCAGCCAATACCTTAACTGGGTTGTAACTGTGCTGTCTTCACCGAGAGCATTACAATCTTCTTTTCAACAGTAATGGTCTCTCAGCCAGGGCAGTGATGCTCAGCCTAGGCTTGGCAGAAGCTTTGACTGATTCAGAGCTTCAGTTCTGAGGTTTGTCGCCTCCCAACAGGAGGAGGGGGTGGTCTAGCCTCAGGCATTACTCTCCATTTTCCATCTCCAGATCTTTGCATTAGCTGGCCTCCATACCTGAAATGCCTCTGTGTCCTCACCTCTACCTTTTAGTTTCCTGACTTCCTTCACGTCTCAGCTCAAATCTCCTACCTTCTACAGAAGTCTTTTCCTAGTGCCAACAACCTCTGAGGCATTCTTCTCTGAGACCATTTTATCTTTCATTTACTCCACTTATATGTCATCTCCCCTGTTAAAAATGTGGACTCCTGGAGGGCGAGGACCATCCCGCCAACCTTTTCTTTGTTTTGAACTTCTCTGTTATCATAGTAACTTTCTGTGGTCAAGTTCTTTTGTTATTGTTGTTTGCTCATTTCCCCAGCCTATTTCTTGACTTTTAATTTTATGTTAAAGTTTGGCTCGGCTTGCAGGGTGGAAGGGGCACTGTTCACAGCTTCAGGGTTTTTGGGGGGGTTTCTTTTGTTGTTTTGTTTTGTTTTTGCTGCTGTGTTTAGAACTAGTTCTGGGGGGTCTTTAAGTTTTCAGTTCTTCCAAGGTGGTATGATCTAAGGAGACGTGTGGTCTGTGAGTGACCACAAGCACTCTTTTTCCACCATGGAATCACGACCAGGGTCCTTGCTGCCCTGTGGCTTCATGTTCTAATGTGCTAATGCTCTTGCTCACCCTGGGATGGTGAACCGGAACTGCGGATGGGCAATGCAACAGAGTCCTGCCCCCAATGCCAGCAAAGGATCCCCTATACTCTCCTTCTGACCGGCTGTCCAACCCCCTTACCATTTGTGGGCTGAGAGCTCTAGAAGCCAGGGCTGCTGATGCACATGCCCCCAAAGGCTTGCTGCTGGCTTGCCCAGCAAGACTGCCCTGGATTGCACTCTACTCACACCTCAGTGAGACAGACTTTTTCTGCTGACCTTCAAAGTTGTCTCAGGCTGGAAAATTGTTTCTC